AAATTACCTTCCGTAGGTCAGGGTTAAATTCAAGTCCTGGATACAGTTCAAACCCAAACTCTGCCAACCATCAGCTGCAAACCCTTACCCAGATAACCTGACCTTTCCGGCCCGTTTCCTCACAGCACCGGCTCAACCAGTTTGTCACGGCCTCCACTGGGATGTGGCTTCCTGAGGGGGCTTGGCAGGCCACAGGTGTGTAGTCCACATCTCTAAGTCAGTCAGGGAGGCCACTGGGAGGTCCTGGGGCCACTGGGAGGTTGGACCAGTGTGGGCCACACACAGAGTCCCAGGGAATCCAAACACTGTTGTGTTAATGCCGAGACCAGTCCTCTGGGCCTCTCCCCAGCCTCAGCTCACAAGCTTGTCAGAAGTCCAGGGAGAGGGGTTTGGCCTCTCAACTCAATATACCCTTGGCTATTTTCCCCAACACCAACTATCAACCAGGTGTGCAGATATCTGACCAGCAATCACCAATAAATAACTTGATATAATCTATTACCTTAGTCTGCTTTCGTCACTCTAGCGCTTGGCCAAGTGCAGATGTTAGTTCCAGTTCTCACTTGGTCTCTTTCTACCTGTGTGACCTCAGACAGGGGGCAGACACCTCAGAGGCTACTTCTCTGAAAAGCCAAGGGACCCTGGGGCCCCATAGCTAGGACATCACTGTCCTGATTCTGGGTAACAGACTGGGCCATGCCATGCCTGTTTCCCCATCTGTAAAATGAATATTCCTCACTACTTCGGATGATGCTGGCCCTTGGGATGGGGCTGTGAGGTACAAAGCAGGATCAGAAATGGGGGCGATGGTGTAGGGTTGACCCTCAGTTCTGTAGTCCAGCAACTTGGTTCCCCACTCCCTGGTCCTGGGGACATGAATCTTACTCCTCCCTCCACAGGGCTGGGCCTAATGCTCAGCATGCCTCTGGCCAGCCTCCAGAATTCAGAAAAGAACTGGGGGCTGCCAATGGAGCTGCTCTCAGAGAAAGAATGGGAGGGGGTGAGGGCTCGGGCTGGAGGCTGTGGCCTGAGCCTATCCTGCTGGCTGTCCCAGGCACGAGGCCAGATCTGGGCAGTGAGTCAGGGCCCAGGCATGTTAGAGGACCAGGGCCTCTCCAGGCCCCTGTGAGCTCAGGCACTTCCCTGAAATCACCTACCCGCAAGGTTCTGGCCAGGCCACGTTCAGCCCCAACACTTGCTTATTCCTTTGGGTCAGTCCCTGGGGTGCCTGGAGAGATTGGGGTGTGGGGGAGGACAGATATGACCCCTGAATCAGGGTTCACACAGCCTCCCTAAAGGGACCTTCTTCCCCTTGGGGAAACAGCTCCAGGCAGGCAAAAGCCTCTGTGGCCCCTTCCTAGAACAAAGCCAGGCTATTGCTCAGAGAGGGATAGCAGGCCCACAGGGGGATCAGGCCCTGGGCTGGGGCAGATAAACCTCTTCTGTGATGGAACCCAACCCCATGCCTGCTTTCTCTCCAAGGCACTCCCGGTCTAGGGGAAAATACTTTCTCCCGCCCTCGGCTTTCAGCTGGGCTAGGTCTATTCTAAAAAGTCCTTGGGGTCCTACCAGAGCTGGGGCGCACTCCTGGCACTTTCACCCACAGTGAGCAGGTGGGGAGGCCAGCTGTGTTAGCAGGAATGACCACCAGGGTGACAGCTGTTACTCAGCTGGCCACAGGCCAAAGCCTGGCTTGTACCTGGCTGAGGTTGCAAGACTGGTGGGCAGCCTTGTGCGTGGGCCTCCTCCAGGGATGCTGGCCAGAGTGGGAAACACTTGTGGATGTCACAACTGAGGTGGGTGCTCCTGGCATCTATGGGTGGAGGCCAGGGATATTGCTAAATGTCCTGCCATGTGCAGGACTGCCCCAACCACAGAGAATGACTGGCCCTGACTGTCACCAGGGCTGAGGTGGGAAAACTCTGGTCTAGGTCAAACCTTTTGCCCTTTGGACATTGACAATACAGATGGGGATTCTGCTCCTATTTCACACCATAGGACTCTACTGACATGGAAAATAGCAGCAGCCCAGAAAAGCTGTGTGAACATTTACTTCAATACATATAGCCAGGCGCTGGCATTGAAATAGGGCCCCTGAAGTTCTTCTGGAAATCTTGTGAGTTGAATGTACTGGGGTTTCTTACACTTCAGGGACTGTTGAGCCCTCTTTTTTATAGGGTCCATCTCCCTAGAGCCTGACAGGCAACCTTCCTTGCCCTAGGCTTCTTGTTCCGAGGGTCATTGAAATGAACTGTTTTTAGTGCTCACTGGACGTGCTCAGATGCTACTAGAACTTACTGTTTTCTCTGCCTAGATTGCCCCTCTGATTAAAACACTAATTGTGCTTATTGTAAACAATTCAGCTGTATAGAGGTTACAACACCCACGGGTTCATGTAACTACCTACTTGCTTCAGGCAAAGCTGTATCCAGGAGGCAACAGGTATCTTTCTCCTTAGGCAGGCAGACCACACTCTTGCCACTCTCAACAAAAACGAGGTTTAGAATCAGTGGTTTTCAACCTTCCTAATGCCGTGACCCTTTTAATACAATTCCTCATGTTGTATGTGGACGTATCTGCATGTGGGCAGACCCGCCTGGAGACGGATAGAGGAGCAGTGTCTCGGTTTCTAAGACCATCGGAAATATGTGTTTTCCGATGGTCTTAGGCAACCCCTGTGAAAGGGTCATTCAACTCCCAAAGGGGTTGCGACCCACAGATTGAGAACTGCTGGTTTAGATGAACACAATGATTGGCCGGCCCTGGTCTAGGTTACATACTTAATCAGTTAGGGTTTATTTTGGTTGTTTGTGATAGAAACACAAAAATAACAATGGCACATACAAGATAGTTTAGAGTCAACCTCTCTTCCCCCCTTAAAGAAGTCCAGAGTTGATATCAGCTCTACCATCATCAGGGAACCTGTTTCTTATAATAATCTCTAGAGCACTGCACCCTGGCATTATGGCTGCCAAGGCTCCAGCCATCACACCCAAATTCCAGAAAATGAAGGGAAAGGGAGGGGAAAGAAAAGGTATACTCCCTGCCTTTTAAGGATCCTTCTAGAAGACTCATACAACACTTCCACTTATATTTCATTGGCCTGCAAAAGAGGTTGGAAAATGTGCTTTGACCAGGCATAGCTTCAGGGTGGCATCTGCTCACATGTGGCTCCTCCATGAACCGAAGGGTTCCTTGTCACAGTCATTTGTGTCTTGGGTTCTTAGCACAATTCTGGAATACAATGGCACTCAAAGATACATCCTGAATAAAAAGGGGTCAAACTTGAATAATAAATGATAAAGACTTGGAATTTGCCCTGGCCGGTTTGGCTCAGCGGTTAGAGCGTCGGCCTGAGGTCCAGAGAGACCTGGGTTTGGTTCCCGCTAGGGGCACGTACCTCAGTTGCAGTTTGTCCCCAGCCCTGGTTGGGTTGTGCAGGTGGCAACCACTTGATGTGTCCCTTTCACGTCGATGTTTCTCTCTCTCTCTCTTTCTCCCTCCCTCCCACTCTATCTGAACAAAAAATGGGAAAATGTCCTTGGATTAGGATAAAAAATAAAAAAATAAATAAATAAATAAAGACTTGGAATTTGTCATCATACATTATGGTGTCATTTGTATCGTGTTGTCACACGTGACGTCACAGGCCTGGCGCAGTTACGTCAGTTCTCTATGGTTACCTAGCTCAGGCCAGTCCAGCATCTGAGGCCAACATGAGGGGGAAAAGAAATCTGGTAAAAATCCCATTTATGTACAAACATTTAATTTTAAGCTGATCTCACCACCAAGGCAGTAACCACACACCACAAATGATTTCTGCTATGTGCAAGACATGGTTCGCGAGGCTCCTGGCTACCACTCCGTGTCCACCAAACTCCAAAGATAGTCACTGATGAATTTCTGGGAGAGTTGGCTGCTGTCCAGGTGGATGGGCTGGGCAACGCTGGGGCCACGATGAACTGAGGGCATGATGTAAGGAAACCAGCCACACACAGCCCTCTCCATAACCCCTCAGTAAAAGGATACTGTCTCAAAAAATTTGTAAGGTATTAGAGCCTGAAACAAATTTTCGTGAAGAAAAATTTAATCTCTAATAATGCACTATCTTTTTTCTTTTTTTGGTACGTGCCCCTAGCAGGAACCAAACCCGGGACTCTCTGGTCTGCAGGCTGACGCTCCAACCGCTGAGCCAAACTGACCAGGGCTGCACTATTCTTTTTTTTAGATTATGATAAATACATACAAAATTTACCATCTTAACAATTTTTAAGTGTACAGGCCAGTGGCACTAAGCACATCACATTGTTGTGCAACCATTACCACCATCCATCTCCAAAACCTTTTCACCTTGTAAAACTGATACTCTGTCCCCATTAAACGCTAACTCCCCAGCCCTGGCACCCACCATCTACTGCCTGTCTCTATGAACCTCATGTAAGTGTAATCTTACAGTACTTGTCTTTTTGTGCCTGGCTTATTTCACTCAGCATGTCCTCCAGGTTCGTCCATGTTGTAATATAGGCCAGAATTTCCTTTTAAGGCTGAGTACTATTCCATTATACGGATACACCCCATTTTGTTTATCCAGTCAACTATCAATGGATACTTGGGTTGCTTCCACCTTTTGACTATTGTGACCAGTGTTCCCATGAATGCTGATGTCCAAGTATCTGTTCCAGTCCCTGCTTTCAATTCTTTACTGTTTATACTAGGAGTGTATAAGGCCCTGGCTGGTTTGGCTCAGCAGTTAGAGCATCTGCCTGCAGACCGGAGAGTCCCGGGTTCAGTCCCCGCTAAGGGCATGTACCTCAGTTGCAGTTTGTCACCGGCCCTGGTTGGGGCCGTATGAGTGGCAGCTGGTCGATGTGTCTCTCTCACATCGATGTTTCTCTGTCTCTCTTACCCCCGCTCCCGCTCTGTCTAAAGATAAATGCAAAACAAATGTCCTCAGGTGAGGATAAAAAAAAGTGTATAGGACCTGCCATCCTGTTTTTCATACCAGCTGCAGCATTTTACATCCCCACCACCAGAACACAGGGTTCCTTTTCTCCACAAAGGATACTGCCTTTGATCATCCCCGGTTCACACTCATAATCCCACTCAATTTTACTAATTCGGTGATAAAGTTGAGCCACATACCTGTACAAGACAAAAAAAAAAAGACAAGTGAGTTATCCCAGCGTCAACCCCAACACAGAACTGTGGGATTAAACACACAGAAACTTAGGCACACACACAGGAATTTATGGGACCTACATGGCTGCAGGGATAGTGACCGTTGTATCTTCGTCAACTTCCTTCTCCCGTTTTTCAAGGTCAGCCTCAATCTCCTTGAGGTCTTCTAGCTCCCTGGTGAGCTGAGTAAAGCAGGCAGTTAAGGATCCCTGGCTTTGGAGGGAGAGCTGCCTATGTGCTAAAACCAGCCATATGGGACCCAGGGCCTCTGGCTCCAAGGATGTTTTCTAATGTGAATGACTTTGCACCTCCTGGGCAAGCAGAGGCCCAGTGGTTTCGAGCAAGCAGGAAAGGATATATGAGGTTGGCCTTCAGGTGAGTGTCCTCCTCGCTGGCCTTCTGGAGCTTGGCTTCAATCTGCTGCAATTCAGCAACCCCCTGGCATGCTTGCTCCTTCGCATCAAGAAGGCTCTGGGCCACATCCTTCTCTGTATTGAGGATCTCTGCAAGGTGGGAGAGGGTTGAGCCCTCTCAATTCGGGCTTCCCAGAGCCTATCCTGGGAGAGCCCGAGGAGCAGATGGTGGTTCATCAGCCTGTGGCCTCAACTGCCCCCATGGATGATGAACCCTCCCATTTCCCGGTCGGTACCTCCCCAACCTGCTCATCCTATTTCCAAACACCCACTAGACAGTTTCACCTGGACCTTGCATAAATGCTTCCATTTCACTGAAACACATTTGAATCCACCAAACAAACAAAAAACAGGTCCAGCCCTGGCCAGTTTGGCTCGGCGGTTGAGCGTCAGCCTGCAGACCAGAGTCCCACGTTCAGTTCCTGTTAGGGGCATGTACCACACACAAAAAAGGTCCTTCTTTGCACATCTAATCTTAATTTATAACATCACGGTCCGCCCTGCTACCCAAGCACGAAGCCTGGGACTAACTTACATTTTTCACCCAGTTGGTCATCCAGGCTGGGCAAGTCCTCCTGCTTCCCTTGTGCAGGTCCTTTGTCCCTCCAGGACCACCCTGGACAGCCCCTGTGCCCTGCCTTGGTCTCTCCCGTCGCCAATCCTTTCTGCCCTCTGCCTTCAGGAGCTGCATTAGAGGCTAAATGTGAAGTCGCTCTCCTGCTCAAAGACCTCCCATGGCTATACAGTGGCTCTAGGACAAGGTACAGGTCCCTTTGAGCATCTTCATCATCCCTTCCAGCCTCCTTTCTCCCTACGTTTCACCCCACCACATGCCTTCCTCTCTGCTCTGGCTGCAAATGCCACGTTTTTCACAGTCCTGGGCCTCCACCTGCCTGTCCTCCATGGGACACATCCAGACCTGCCAGGTAGTGCCAGACTCAGACAGTGGGACACTCTCCTCTCCCTCCTGGGGCATGACTGTGCTCCCATGAAAGCCCCTATTACATTTAATTACTTATTCCTTGTCTTTCTTCATCGAATCAAAGACTACATTTTACAATCTCCATGTAGTGCCAGCACCTACTCAGAATAAACACATGTTGAACAAAACATCCAGAAAGATTAAAAGTACGTTAAGATTACTGTGTTCCTTCCCATAGAGTTGGAGGAACCTGCCAACTCAGAAAAAGCAGATAAAAAAATGCTTCCCAAAGGACTGGCATTTAAGTGTTTACAAACTGACATTTTAATTTGTAATCAAACTATTACATGTATATGGTTGTGAAAATGTAAACACATACACACCCTCTCTAAGCCTCTCCATCCCTCTGAAGCAGTGACTTTCAACTCTTCATTATTTTCTTGGGCACTGACCTTCATACTTCTAAATAATTTGCTTATGCTGCTATTTCTTGATTTGTCTGTTTGAGATGGTGCCTGCTGATTTCATTAGGCGAGCTGAGGGTCTGGCTTTCTTATGAAGCCTTCGCCCCTTCTCCACTTACCCTCCCGAGTGTGTGCTAAGTGTGCAGGAGAAGCTGGGAGCCCCTACTCAGTGCATTCTCACAGTGCTCTGAGGAGGTGGCTTAAACCCTCCCACCATTTGAGGTGAAGAACAGAAGCCAGAAAGGTTCAGTGACTTGTTCACACACAGCCCCGAAGCCTGGACTTGAACCAGATTCACTGACTCAAAGACCCAGCTCCCTAGAACACTGACTCTTCCCTTCAGCCCCAAATCCATCTGTTCTGCTAAAACCTAGGCAGGCTGGGTGATGCTGATCTCCCCAAACCATCCCTGGAGGGTGAGTTAGGTGGAGGGGAAAAGGAGGAAAGAATGAAGAGGACAAGAAAAGAGGGCAAGATCTTGACCAGGACACCCATCATTTTTAGATGAACAACCAAACTCCTCCTGAGGACTCACAGGCCTGGTGGGGTCTAGATGCTACTGACCCAATCTACCTCTTTCTCTTAGGTCTCTAAACTCATCCTCACTTCATAACCCTACATTTTTGTTCTGCCAGGAATACTCTTCCCCGAGTCATACATGTCTAGCTCCTAAGTCATTCAAGTCTCAATACACATGACACCTCTTCATAAAATGTAAATATAAAAAGGCATTAAAGCCCAGTGGGTGTGGCTCAGGGGATTGACTGTTGGCCCATGGACTGAAAGGTCCAGGTTCAATTCCTGGTCAGAGTACACCAGCTCAATCTCCAGTAGGGGGCATGCAGGATGCAGTTGATTGATGTTTGTTTCTCACACTGACAGTTTCTCTCTCTATCCTTTCCTTTCTTTCTAAAAATATCAATAAAAACATTTAAAAAGGGGGAGGGGGCATTAAAAACCCCTGGCAAGGAAACCACTGTGAAAAACTAGATGGCAATTCCTCAAAAAATTAACCATCAAATTACCATTTGATCCTATAATTCCCTCTCTCAAAAATACAAAAAAGAATTGAAAGCAGGGTTTCAAGGAGATATTTGTACTCCCACGTTCATAGCAGCATCATTCACAATAGCCAAGAGATAGAAGCAACCCATATGTCCACTGATAAATGAATGGATAAAACAAAATGTGGTACCCTGGCCGGTTTAGCTCAGCAGTTGGAGCGTTGGCCTGCAGTCCAGAGAGAACTGGGTTTGGTTCCCACTAAGGGCATGTACCTTGGTTGTGGTTTGTCCCCGGCCCTGGTTGGGTCGTGTGGGTGGCGGCCACTTGGTGTGTTCCTTTCACATCAATGTTTCTCTCTCTCTCCCTCCTGCTCTATCTGAACAAAAAATGAAAAAATGTCCTCGATAGGATTTAAACAAACAAAAAAAAGGTGGTGTATATATATGTAATGGAATATTATCTAGCCTTAAAAAGGAAGGAAATTCTGACATACTGTATGTTACAACATGGGTGATCCTTGAAGGCATTACGTTCAGTGAAATAAATGAGAGACAAAGGGACAAATACTGCATTATATAAGGTCCCTAGAGGAGTCAAATGAAGAGAGAAAGTAGAAGGGTGGATGCCAGGGGCTGGGCAAAGGGGGAAGGGGAGTTAGTATACAAAGTTTCAGTTTGGGATAAGAAAAAAAGTTCTGGAGATGGATGGTGGTGCTGGTTGCATAACAATATGAGTACATTTAATGCCGCTGAACTGTACTCTTAAAAGTGGTAAAAATGGTAAATCTTATTTTATGTCAATTTTACCACAAACAAATTTTTTTTTTTTTTTGTAGCCTTAAAAACAAAAAACCCTGGCACTGAGGATAGTAGCAACAATGCTATCAGCAGTCCCATTTCACAGATGAGGAAACAGGCTTGAGAGGGAAGTCACTGGACTGAGACCACAGGGCTCATGAGTTGACAGCTGAAATCCAGGTCAGAGCTTCTGGGCCTCACTCGTGGGAAAGGTTGGATCGAGCCTTCTCTATGACATAGTAAGATACTTAGTAGCAAAACTTTTTTCCTTCTCTATAAATTCTCACCTGAGGATATGTTTTACTGATTTTTAGAGAGGAAGGGAGAGAAGTAAAGAAACATCATTCGGTTGCCTCCCAGACACATCCCGACAAGGACGAACCTGAAACCTTTTGGTGTACTGAACGAGCCTCCAAGCCAACTGAGCTACTCGGCCAGGGCTAAGAGTCTTATATTTGATGGTGTCTTGGATTCGACCAAGTGTTTGTCCAGTGTTCTCTCCATATACAGTAGAAGGCACTTTATCAACATCGATTTATTTAATCCTCACCATAGCCCTGGCTCCCTCACCTCCTTTGAGTTCCTGCTAAAACATCACCTCGGAAGACTTTCCCTGACCCTGCCCCCAAAACATCATCACTCCTCCCTACACAACCTACTTTTTCTCCTTAGTCCAACACCTCCTGACCTATCCATTTTTCTTGTTTATTCTGTGTCACCCCCCATTAGCACACTTTAAGGGGTTTTGTCTGTTTTGTTACCTGCTGCCACCCAGGGCTAGCATTAAGCCTGGCACACAGCAGGTGCTCAGTAAAACATCTACACAACCCCAGGAATAGAGGTGCTGAGTTTCAAACACGACGCTTTGACTCCTGAGCCCCAGTTCAAACCCGGAGTTCCCCAGTTCCTGCTCAGCGAACGCTCAGAATTGGGCCTGGCGCTCAAACTCCTATATTTACCACTAAACCCCTGGAGGTGGTACTGTCCTAAAGCCCACTTCACCGGTGGATAAACTGAGGGTCAGAGCGAGCAGCGCCCGCCCGCTAGTCCCACGGGAAAAAGACCAAGGGTTGGGGGGACCCAGGAGGGAGGGTTCCGAGGCCGGCCTGGCCGCACCCTCCCATCCCCGAGGGCCTGGGTCGCGGTCGCGCCACCGCGCGGGCCCCGGTCCTCACCTCGCAGCTGCTGCTCGGCGCCGTCTTGCGCCTCCAGCAGCCGTTCCATCATCTGTCCGTAGCGCCCCAAAAGCCGCCGCTGCTGCGCCGCAGCGTGGTTGGCGCTCAGGAGGCTTAGCAGCCCCTGGCATAACTCCTCCATATCACGGAAAGCCGCCATGACTGCGAGAGCGCCAATCCCGCGCAAATTTAACTGCCTGCGGGGGTCCACCCCCTTCCTGAAGCGACACATTTTCATTGGCTTAACCCTCCGTCAGTCTTGAACGAATGTAGGCCGGCCCCTTCTGGTCTGGTCTAGTGCGCTAGCGCTGAATCCTCCGTCAGTCATCGCCGATGGCCAATCGACGCAGGGAGGGGGTTGTGCCTCCAGGAGTACCTGACGCGCCAGTGCAGACGCGAAGGCGGCTACCGGAGCTTGAAGCTGTTCGTTTCTCAGTAAGAGGAGTACCTGCTGCACACGGGACCCGGTTCTAGGGCCCAAGCAATGAATTGCTTCCAGTGTGCATGGGAAACTCACAATAAACAAGTAAATTCTGTAAGATGCTGCATAGCAAAATGGAGTCCACAACCAGATTCACTGGATTCCAATCCGTTTTGCCACTTACTAGCTGTGTTACCATGGTCAGATAACTTCATCCCTCTGTGCCTCACTTTCCCTTTCAGTGAAATGAGGGCCATCATAGTACCTACTTCAGGGTTGGCTTGATGATTAAATGAGAAGGATCTCTTACTCAATAAGAACTATACAGATGTTAAATAAAACTTAAAATGCTAGCCGGTGAGGTACCTAAGGCACCAAACATCACGCTATGTGCGGGATTACAGTAGGGGAAAGAGACTGCACACTTGCGACATGATCCTCAAACTGAAGTGAAGAAATCAATGTAGTGGGTCATGGCCAACAGTTTCTACAAAATGTAATGGGAAAATTTAGTGCATTGTGTGTGGAAGGTTAGTCAAGTACCTGTATTGTTTGTGAACATTCTTTTTTTTTTTTTATCCTCACTCGAGGACATTTTTCCATTTTTTTGTACAGATAGAGAGGGAGGGAGAGAGAGGAAGAGATAGAGAGAGGAAAACATCGATGGGAAAGGGACACATCGAGTGGCTGCCACCGCACGACCAACCAGGGCCGGGGACAAACTGCAACCGAAGTACGTGCCCCCCGAGCGGGAACTGAACCCGGGTCTCTTTGGACCGCAGGCCGACGCTCTAACCGCTCTAACCGCTGGGCCAAACCGGCCAGGGCTGTTTGTGGGCATTCTAAACTCTGCATTTGTATACTGGGTGTGGCAGATTGTGTTTTTGAAAAATGGCTACAGAAATACTGTAGTCCCAACCTTGCCACTCCCCATCAAAAGGTAGACTCTAATTCCTTTCTTCTTGAACCTGATTAGGATTTTGTGTAACAAATAGCATGTGGCAGAAAGGACACTGCAACTTCTGGCCATAGGTGAGAAACTAGAATACATCTTTTGCCTGGTGCTAGCTCTCTGTCTCTCTCTCAATTTCAGGATGCTCTTTTTCTGAGCCCAGCTGCTATGCTGGGAGGAAGCCCAGGCAACATGAAGTTCCCAGCTAAAGCCAGCATGAAGCACCAGATGAGTGAATTAATACTGAAATGATTCCAGCTCCCAGCCTTCAGGCCATCCCAGCTGACAAGAGGAGCAGAAATGAGCTGTCCCCATCAAGTCCTGGTCAAAGTGCAAATCTGTGAGCAAGATAAATAACCAGTGTTTAAAACCAGTAAATTTGGGGGTAATTTGTTACACAGCCATGACACCTGGATGGCTGGGTCACATGTGAAATTTGTATTACTTTAGGTCACATAAAAATATTATTGAAAGTCACTACTGTAGTGGCAAGACCTCATAATAAGCAAGAAAACATGAACAGGATCTTTTTAGACAGGAACATCTGCTATGAAGGAAATTAAACAGGGTCATAGGATAGTCACTAGATTTGGGGTCAGGGAGGTAAGTGACTTAAGTCTGGTGATCAGGGTTGGACTTCCTGAGCAGGGGACATATGAACCAGGATCTGAGTGATGAAAAGGTGTTGGAATACAAATAGCCAGGGAGAAGAAAGAGCAAGTGCAAAGGCTGCTGAGGTGGGGAAAATTTTAATTTGTTTGAGGAATATCAAGGAGGTTGGTGTGACTGGAGAGTGAGAAGGTTGCCAGGAGCCCTGGAGTTCTTTCTAGTGTAACAGGAAGCATTGGAAGGCATTAAGTAGGGGTGAGATAGGGAAGATCTCAATTCCAGGTATTCTGGAATTGAGAGAACTTGTGGGCAGACTGAATATGTAGAATAAGGAAGAGAAAGAGAAAGATTCCTGGGTGTTTAGCCTAATACCTGGATGGGTGGTGGTGCTAGTAGCCAAGATGGGGAGGAGCAGGGTTGGAGGTGAGGGGCTGCATGAAATGAACAGTTTGGGGAAGTTCCTAATGCCTGGGAGATGGTCACATGGAGCTATCAAGAAGGTGGTTGCTTTGCTACATGAGTCTGCATAGACATTTGGACTGGGGATAAAATCCAGGAGTTGTCAGGGTACAGATGAGACCACCTTGGGGGAGAGTAAGGAGTGGAGGAGGTCCAAGGCCCAAGCTCTGAAACTTTCCAACTCTAGACATTGTAGAAAATAAAAGAAGCTGGCAAAACAGAGAAGACGAGACACGGAATGAAGAAAGAAGCTACCACAGAGCAGTCAGGAAATGTGCTTTCATTTGACCATCAGGAATCTGACAGGTCCTAAACCCCAAGCCTGTGGCCACCTTCCTTCTCAGAGCTTACTTCTATGAGATAGTTTTTGCCAAGACCCAGGGGTCATGTTTTTATATTTCTACAGTAGTCATGTAGCTGGGGACACTCTTAGGACTAATAAATATATTTATTTAGTCTCCCTTAGGTCACAGACCACTTTGAAATCTGATGAAAGCAATATCCATTCGTTTGAGGATTTTGTGTAGCTTATGAGTTTAAGACCCCAGAAGACCATCCCAGATTTTTGGGTTAAGAAACTCCCCAGCCTTTGTCTCATGGACCAGCTAGCAGATGTAGAAGTCATGACACCTGAGTTATTTACTGCAGAAATACTGGTGTCTGGGCATGAAGCCAGGTCCCCAGAGTCAACACTCAAGGCCAGGATTGCTCACCCTCCTGATGGCTGAGCACTGGATGCTGACATTGCTCTGTCAACAATCAGCTATGTGACCTCTAGTGGCAGGGGCTCACTTTCTGTGCCTAAATGGAGTGGGGTGGATTACTTAATGCAGAGTGAAATAAAGAGGAAATAAGACCTAGGGTTCAGTTTCTAGTTCTGTAGTTTACCTGTGACCTTGGTAAGTTCTTAACCTTTCTAAGCCATAGACTAATGATAGCTCTTTCTTATCAGTTGGGGTGGGAGGTGTTCAAGAGATAAGCTATTTGAAATTGCACAACCATAGCCTGACAGCTATAAATTCTCCAGTCAAAAAAGGCCACTCCCTCCCTTCCAAAAAGCAAAGTTAGAACCACCTCACAGCCAGTAGGATGGCTAGTATAAAAAAAAGCAAGTCTTGGCCAGTGTTGCTGTTGGTTGGAGCATTGTCCTGTACACCAAAAGGTCGTGGGTTCAATTCCCGGTCAGGGCCCTCAGCTGGGGCACATACGAGAGTTGGCCGATCGATGTTTCTCTTTCACGTCGATCATCATTCTCTCAGTCTCTCTTTCTCCCTCCCCCTTCCTCTCTCTAAAATCAATAAACATATCCTTGGGTGAGGATTTGGAAAACAAAACAAAACAGAAAATAACAAGTGTTGGTGGGGATGTGAAGAACTTGGAATCCTTGTGCATTGTTGGTGGGGATGGAATGTAAAATGGTGCAGCCACTAAGGAAAACAATATAGCGGTTCCTCAAAAAATTAAAACAAAGTATCATATGACCTAGCAATTTCACTTCTAGGTATATACCCCCCAAATTGAAAGCTGGAACTTGAAGAGATATCCGTACACCTACCATTATTGACAGTAACCAGAAGGTAGAAGCAACCCAGGTGTCCACTGTTGGAGGAATGAATGTGGTATATACATATATGGGATATTATTCAGTCTTAAAAGGAAAGGAAATTCTGCCATATGATATAACATGGATGAATCTTAAGGATATTGTGCTAAGTGAAATAAGCCAGACACAAAGGACAAATACTGTATGGTTCCATTTATATCAGGTCCCTAGGGTAGGCAAATTCATAGACACAGAAAGAATGGTGCCAGGAGTTGGGGTGGGGGATGAAGAGTTAGTGTTTAATGAGGACCGAGTTTCACTCTGAGATGAAAAGTCCTGGAGCTGGATGGTGGTGATGATTGCACAACAATGTGAATGTGCTTAATGCCACAGAACTGGACAATTAAAAATAGTTTACATGGTAAATGTTATGTATAGTTTATTATTATTTTTTTTAACTTTTTTTTTTTTTATCCTCACCCGAGGACATTTTTCCAACTTTTGCACAGATAGAGTGGGAGGGAGAGAGAGGGAGAGAGAGAGAGAGAAACATCGACGTGAAAGGGACACATCGAGTGGCTGCCACCCGCACGACCAACCAGGGCCGGGGACAAACTGCAACCGAAGTACGTGCCCTTAGCGGGAACCGAACCCGGGTCTCTTCAGACCGCAGGCCGACGTTCTAACCGCTGAGCCAAACCGGCCAGGGCGATGTTATGTATAGTTTACACAATGAAAAATACATGTATTGCCCTGGCTGCTGTGGCTCAGCAATTAGAACAACAGCCCTTACACCAAAGGGTCACAGGTTCAATTTCTGGTCAAGGGCAAGTATCTGGGTTGCAGGTTTGATCCCCGGCCCATTGGGGTTGTGTGAGAGGCAACCAATCAATGTGTCCCTCTTGCATCAATGTTCCTCTTGCTCTCTCTCTCTCCCCCACCCTCCCTCCCTTCTACTCTCTCTAAAATGCAATGGAAAAAATATCCTTGGGTGAGGATTAACCAAAAATAAATAAATAAATAAATAAAAATACATGTATTAAAAAATTAAAGTACCCGGCTGGTGTGGCTCAGTGGTTGAGCGTTGACCCGTTCACCAAGAGGTCGCACATGCCCAGGTTGTGGGCCCCAATCCCCAGTGAGGGGCATGTAAGAGGAGGCCAGTGTTCTTTCTCATTGATGTTTCTAGCTCTCTCTCCCTCTCCCTTCCCTCTCCCTAAAATCAATAAAGAAAAAGAAAAAAAAAATTAAAGCAAGAAACTGGGTGGTGATAGGGAATGGGTTCTTAAGCATTAGCTGAACAAGATTAACAAAGATGACAAAATGGTCCTGGGCAATTACTTACGAGAAACAATTGAAAATTCCCAAAGGCCCCTTCTTGGCTCACAAATCCCTCTGAAAAACTGACAAGTGCAGTGGACCTTCTGCTCAGAAATACACAACTTTGCATAAAATTCCTGGGACTTCCTAAAACCTCTGAAAGCCACCCATCATCTCCTGGTTGAACAATCCGGAGGTAAAACAGAGGAAGTGAGAAGTCAGGAGAGCAGTCATGAATCATCAGTCACCTTTACAGGGAGCGAGAGGAAGGGGCCCAGGGACTGGGGACCAGCCCGGGATGCTCCACTTCCTGGCCTGGTAATGGTAACTTGAGGATGTTCAGTTTGTGAAAAGCCATAGAGCCATACATTATTGTGCCTGACTTGTGCACAAAATGTATGTATATTATACCTCAAAAAGTAAAACAACAAAACATTTAAAATGTTTTTTCCTTTATGGATTTTAGAGAGGAAATGAAAGGGAGATAGAAACATAGATGAGAGAGAACATCGATTGGCCACCTCCTACATGCCCCCATTGGGGATTGGGCCCACAACCTGGGCATGTGCCCTGACTGGGAATCGAACCGGTGACCTCCTGGCGCATGGGTCAGTGCTCAACCACTGAGCCACACTGGCCGGACTCAACAAAACATTTTAAGACCCAACCTATTAGAAAAAGGTGTTGACATGGCAGTGTTTATACTAAGTGGGACCATGGCCCCCTCTACTATGTCAAACATTTCTGTCTTGTTTGAATTTTGCCTTTTACGATTGCTCTGAGTTGTTCTGTCATGAGGAAAAAACAATCTATGAGGATTTTGTTTGAGGTCTTCACTGTAGGTGTTTGTTAGAACTTTCTGCCATGGTGGCAATGTTTTCTATCTCTGGAGCCCAATACAATAGCCACCAGGCACACGTTAATTATAATTTACACTGAAGTGGAAATAGCCACATGTGGCTAGTGGCTACAGTATGGGACAGTGCTGGTCTAGGACAGAGCATAAGTTTATTATGAGTCTTGTCACTTTTCTGTAGCTTTGAACACTGTTCAAAATAAGTAAACTAAAAAAGGTATCTATTTTAAAGATTAAAAAGGAATACAGCCCAGCCGGTGTGGCTCAAAGGATTGGGCATCATCCCCTGGACTGAAGTCCTGGTTTGATTCCCCATCAGGGCACATACTCGGGTTGTGGGCTGGATCCCCAGTAGTGGGCGTGCAGGAGGCAGCTGATGGATGTTTCTCTCTCACATCAATGTTTCTATTTCTCACCCCTTCCTCTCTCTCTAAAAAATCAATAAAAACATTTTTTAAAATAAGAGGAATACACTGAGACAAAGATCAGACACAGATATTGGCATTATCATAAAGTAGTTTTATTAAATTCCTTTACCATCTAAAAAATGATTACAAAAAGGAATACTTCATTTAAGTGTAATACTGTCTGTATGGATGTACCGTGGTTGGAAAGTAAAGTTAAAGGTCATGAATACATGTGAGAAGAGAATGGGGACAAAGGCAGGACCCCCATAGCATACCACGCCAAGCCCAATGGGTACCAGGGGAGAAGAGAACACAGGGAAAAATGGATTAGGTTTGGGGGGAGGGGGCAGTGTCAATGAGCTGCTTCTAGAAGCTTAAAATAAACACATCCCCTGGCTCCGGGCCAGGACACACAGGCACACAACTCTTGTACCGATTCTCAAAGCTGCCTAATGCTGCAGCCTTCCATCAGATACCAGAGGACATCTTCAAGCAGCTTTTTTTGTTTTCTCTCCAATTTACACCACACACACACACACACACACACAAAACGCACGCACGCCTCCCTCCTTCGACCATCCAAGCTCTTTTGTCTTAGGTACAAAGTAAAGATTTTGATCCCTTCAATCAAAATCAAAGCAAGCCAGACTACATCAAGCCAAGAAATCCACTTCTGTAGGAGAGAAGCCAGCATTTTGCTTTATTGAATGAACATGTGAGCACTGAGGGCCTGCCCTGTCCCCCTGTGGTCTGGCTTCGACCCTGGCAGCCGAGCTGAGAACTGGACGAGGGGGCAGGACACCTATTAGCTTGGGGTCTTACTCCCCTGTCACAAAGGCACTTTCTGAAGCTTGGAACCTATCCTTTTCTTTTTTTGTTCACAAAAGAAAGAAACAGGAAAGAAAATTATGTTGAGATTCTGGGGACAAAACAGGCCATTAAGGAAACTGAGTGTCTGGCGAGCCCCATTTCCAGCAGGCTCTGTTCCAGGCAGCTCCGGAAAGCCTGTAGGTTAAAAAAAAACCCAGCTGGCCCTTGTTTAGTTTTCGGCAAGGCCCTGACTCTTTAAGTTTGCGATGGGAGCCCTCCGGGGGCAGCCAACTTTTAATTGTGCACACATGGGGTTTCTGGAGCCGGCCCTGTGCTCTGCCAACAAACACATGGCCTGTTTTCTTTCCTTTGAAGAGAGAAATTCTGGAGTTTGAGGAGGATCAGGACGGCTGGTAACCCGGGTTCTAAGACCAGGGACTCAGCAGCCACTCTGGGAACAAGATCCATTTCCTGTGTCTCCAGGTCTGAAGGATTTTTCTAGGAAAATTAATATTTGGTGGGGCCTCCATGGGGGGAGGGGTCAGATTTCAGGGTAATTTCTTGATATGAACTGCTCAAACACCTTGGCTTGCACACCTCAGTGCTGAGTCCTGAGGCTCCTCCCAACCGGAATGGGGGCAACACTGGCAGTGGCACCGAGAAAGCAGAAGACAGGCCTAAACTTCCTACTCCAGGTGACAAGGGCAGAATCTATCTTGTGAAGAGACCAAAATCCTCCCCAAGAAAGCAGTCCGGGGAGAGTGGACAAAATGTTATTATATACCAGACAATTAAATGTGGAGGGCAGGGGGGAGTCAAGCCACTCCGACACTCAGGATCAAAATGAAAATATGCAATTCCAGTGACTTTAAAATTTGGCAACAAGTAATATGATTTCCCCCTTCCCTGATGGTGATTCAAAAATACAATACTTTTCCTCTCACCCTCCTCCATCCATCACTTTCAGTTGATTGTTCTCAGTGTTCTCCATAAACCCACGCCCCAGCATCAGCCACTGGCGCCAGTTTACATGAGAATGTAGCTTCAGTCTGCTGTGGCTGCTTTGAACTGGGGTATGGGGAAAAACCCGCTTCAAGCTGGAGTCTTGTCACTGTTGGGGGCTCCCCGTGGGAATTAGAAGAAAAACCCACTTGCCTTTGAGACTTAGGCCTTGGTGGGTATGGGTGGGGGTTGGCCGGGGAGGAGACCGGATGAGGAACAAGGGAGGAGGGACGGGTCTCTGTGGGGCTGACTGGCCCCTGAGGGGAGGTGCCTCTGGTCCCCCCTCATGGCTACTCTTCTGCAGAGGATGATGCAGGACTTTCGTCATCTGACATCGGGGCAAACTGAAACGAGAAGCAGAATTCCTTGTTTGGCATCCTTTCCACCAAGGCGCCGGCTTTGTTGGCTAGCCCTTTGGCTGCAGTGAGCGAACAAGAGGCTGCGACTCCTTGGCCTCAGGGAGGTGACATTGTAGGAGAGATGCCTCTAAGGAGTAAATAAATAAATGCAACAGAGGATTTTCATCAGGGATAAGGGATGAAGGGAATGGACAGCGGGTGGTCAGGAAGGGGGGTGTCTGAGCTGAATGATGCTGAGGGGCCAGCCCAGGGGGCAGAGCAGGACATTTCTGGCAGAGGAATGAGCCAGTGCAAAGGCCCTGAAGCAGATGCAGTGATAAGGCTGGTGTGTTGGAGCTCAGTGATTGAGGGGGAGAGACAGGAGAGTGGGGTGGAGGTGAGGGCAGTTGTGCAGGGCCTGACGGGCTTTAAGGATGACTTTGGCTTTTTCTCCAATTGAGGTGGGAGCCACAGAGGGCTGTGAGTAGAGAGATGTGCTCTGACTCAGGTATCCACAACGACCCCTGGCTACTCTGGAAAGAGCAGACTGGAGTGAGCAGTGAGGAGGTATGCAAGGGAAGAGGCAGCTATGGCAGTGGTCCAGGTAGACAGGGATGGAGGAATAGGGTTCCTCCCTCAGGTGTCCCTGGGGGCAGAAGCACAGGTCGTACAGCAAGCCATCACCAGCCATACCACCCCCATTTTTCAGTTGAGGACACCAAGGTCCAAAGCTGTTCCCCAGGTGATCCTGAGTGTCACTGCTGAGGCCCAGGGGTTCTGCAACCAGAAAAACTCAGAGCCTCAGAAGAACCTGGGAGCCAGGTGGAGACAGATGGCATATGTCTCTGCAACTTTTCCTCTCTTGTACTGTTCGGTAGACACTGACCATGCTACTCTTGAACCCAGACCCAGACATGCCTCGGGAAAGCTGGGCAAGTGCAGCTGGTGGTGAGGAGAGGGCAGCAAGGCTCCTGCCCAAGTTCTGGTCTGATGGACCCCAGGGCCTCTGCCCCTTTCTGGCTATGAGACCTTGAACCAAGGATGTAACCATTCTAAGCCTCAACTTCCCCACCTGAAAAACGAAAATAACAATAGTGCTTTATGCAAACAAATCAGGTTATTGTGAAAGGTTCAAGGAATCACACTCAGTAGGCACTTAGTATATTGTCTCCTCCATCACACAAGAGTATTGCTTTGAGGACCTACAAGGGAGTGCCCATCTCCCCCATCAGACTGGAAGGGCTTTCTCCTCCATCAGGCACATAGGACACAGACAGTGTCAATATCATCCTGCTATTATGCATCTGGAAGAGTGTTCTGCTAACAAGCACGATTTTTAAAAAGCCCAGATTTCTGTGATCAAATAAAAGAAATGCTGGGTTAAACTCAGTTAAATTAGTTTTTTTTACAGTGAGACTTCTCAAGGCCTTTCATACACTGATATGCTTCTAAATGCCGGAGTCCTCACTGTGGCCAACGAGGCCCTGCATGATCTGTGATGTTGTCTTCCTGTCCTCATCTCTTCCCAATGGGGAGCCTTGATGCCCCTCAAACACAGCAGACATGCTCCTGCCTCAGGGCCTTTGCACTATTTGTCCCTTCTGCCTGGAGAGCCACATAACTTGCTCCCTCACTTCCTCAAGTGTTGGCTCAAATGTCACTGCTTCATCAAGGTCTAAAGTAGCTCCTCCATCACTCACTGTCCCTCATATCCTGTTATATATTTCTTTTCAGTACTTATCATCCCCTGGCTATGATACACTAATTTGCTTATTTTGTCTTTCATTAGAATGTCTGCTCTATGAGGGCAGACACTTTTTTCTGTTTTGCTCAGTGTTGTGACTGCCAGGGCCTAGAACAGGGCCAGAGACAGTCGGTGCTCTGTAAATATTTCTCCAATGAGTGAATGGTGATTAAGAGCATGCATTTGGCACCAGACAGAACCGGGTTCAGATAGTTTTGCCGACCATGACCATGCAGTCTCAGCTCTCTGTGACTCATTTCCTCATGGGGCACAATGAAGGTTCAACAAGCAGATGACTATTAAGTCCCTGGCTCGGGACCCATACACCATTAGCTCTTCATAAACATCTGTCCCCTCCTAGAACCCCCACCCCCTGCCCTGCCAGGGATGAGACTCACCGAGCACTTGATGTTCATGCGGGAGTACAACATGGATGCAATTTCACTCTGCCCCGCGTCCAAGGCCACCATCAGAGCTGTGCTCCCATCCTGTAAAGCACTGTAGCTATAACAACACCTAGCACTGAGCTCCCACCCTCCCTGAGGTACACCTGAGTGCTGACTCACGCGGTCGGTGAGTGAGATGTCACAGCTGGGCACCGCCAGCAGCAGGCTCGTGATCTCCTTGTGGCCGTGCTCACAGGCGCACATGAGGGCTGTGGAGCCGTCATCATCTTGCACGTTGACGTCCGCCTCGCAGGCCAGGAGAGCTTTGACCACATCCACCCGCCCATGGCTGACTGCCAGCATCAGGGCTGTCTGCCCTGCCTGGGCAGGACAAGGCACAGGTTTATGAACTATGTAGGTCCGGAGGCATGTGACCCCTGCTCTGGAACCTTTCATGTTTCCCAGTAATCTGATGTAACAGCACCCCCAATCACTGGCCTCCGACTGTATCTCAATCAGTCCTTCTCACCACTGGGCCTTCATACTTGCTGATCCCTCCTCCTCCTGCTGTCTCATTCTCATGCCTCAGGTCTCAGCTTAAATGACTCCTCCTCAGGAAGATGCCATTTGCCTCCCCACCCCCACACCCACCTAAAGCAAGTGCCTAACTCACAGGTCTAAGCATATGTAAAAATGTATCAAGCTAAGATTTGTACACTTTTCTGTATGTCAGTAGAACCTTAAAAATTAAATCAGTGATCACAAGTAAATGAACAATAAACAAATTATGGTAAACCCATACTACAGAATATTATTGAGCTTTAAAAAGAAATGAAGTACTATACCATGGATGAACCTTGAAAACATTATGCTCATTGTCAGAAACCAGACACTAAGAGATACATACTACATGACTCAATTTATATGAAATACCCAAAACAGGTAAACTCAGAGGCAAAAAATCAGACTGGTGGTTGCTAGGAGATAGGGCAGGGAGAGTAGGGAGGGACTGCTAATGGGTGTAGGGTTTCCTTTAGGGGTGATGGGAATGTTCTGGAAGTAGATATAGATGATGGTTGAACAACACTGTAAATGTACTACATGCCATTGAATTGTATACTTTAAAGGAGTTAATGTTATGCCCTGGCTGGTTACTCAGTGGTTAGAGAGCTGGCCCACTGACTGAAGGGTCACGGTTTTAATTCTGGTCAAGGGCACATACCCGGGTTGCAGGTTTGATCATTGGCCCCAGTTGGGGTCATGTGGAAGGCAACCAATTGATGTGTCTCTCTCACATGGATGTTTCCCTCTCTCCCATTCCCTCTCTCTAAAAAAATCAATGGAAAAAAATCCTCAGGTGAGGATTAACCCCCACCCAAGATACTTTTTTAATTAATTAAAAAATAAAATAAAAGGGTTAATGTTATGTGAATTTCACCTCAATTTAAAAAAGATAAACTACTAATAACTTTTTTTTTTTTTGGTATGTGCCCCAGGCGGGAACCAAACCTGGGACTCTCTGGTCCACAGGCTGACACTCCAACTGCTGAGCCAAACCAGTCAGGGCCTAATAACTTATTTTTAATTAAAAAAATGAGATCAGTCCTGGCCAGTTTGGCTCAGTGGTTAGAGCATCCGCCTGAAGTCCAGAGAGACCCAGGTTCGGTTTCCGCTAAGGGCATGTACCCCAGCTGCAGTTTGTCCCCGGCCCTGGTTGGAGTCGCGTGGGAGGCAGCTACTCCATGTGTCCCTTTCACGTCGATGTTTCTCTCTCTCTCTCTCCCTCCCACTCTATCTGAACAAAAAACGGAAAAATGTCCTTGGTGAGGATAAAAAAAAAAAAGAAAAAAGAAATCAGCCCTGGCTGATTTGACTCAGTGGTTGGAGCATTGGCCTGCGGACCAGAGTCCTGGGTTCGGTTCCCAATAGGAAAACGTACCAAAAAAAAAAAAAAATTTTAAATCGGAGGTGTTTCATCTTGAAGGGTATTTGCTGCTTTCTGTTCTGAAAGATGGCATTTAATACCAGTCTTTGCATGCGTCATGATTGCTGGTACTCGAACTTAAAATCATTGGAATGAGTTGTGAAGAATAGTGCAGAAAGGATATTCAAGTAGAATCTGCAGATTTTTTGTGATTATTTCTGGTATTACGCTTTTCATCATTCATGAGCTGATGGCCATTTATGAAAGATACCAGGAGTCAGAGGAAATCATCACAAGCCAACTTCAATTAACAGGGTGTTTCATTAATAAGAATCAAATTGATGCCTCAGTAATGAAGAAACCAATGGACACCACCTCAGGATGATCTTAAATTAAACTTGGACATCTTTGGGCCTTTAAAAAAATCTCTTAAGCATTAAAAAAAAATTTTTTTTTCTTTATTTATTTGAGAGAGAAAGGAAGGGAGAGAGAGATAGAAATATCAATGAGAGAGAACATCAAGTGGCCACCTCCTGCATGCCCCCCACTGGGAACGGGCCTACAACCTGGGCATGTGCCCTGACCAGGAATTGAACTGGTGACCTCTTGTTGCATGGGTCAACACTCAACCACTGAGCCACACCGGCCTGGCTCTTAAACATTTTTAATTAGAAATAAATTCTGGCTTTAAAAACTACAAAAAAAGAAAAAAGAAAAGAAATCAAGCCCTGGCTGGTTTGACTCAGCGGTTAGAGCAATGGCCCATGGATCAAAAGGTCTTGGGTTTGATTCCTGGTTAGGCACATGCCTGGGTTGTGGGTTCAATCCCCGGTCCCAGTTGGGGTCATGCGGGAGGCAACCAATTGACGTTTGTCTCTCTCTCTCTCCCTCCTTCCCTTCTACTCTAAAAAAAGTCGATGGAAAAATGTCCTTGAGTGAGAATTAACCCCCAAAAAGGCCCCTCAAATCAATAGAAAAAAGCAAGCAGGGTTTGCTCCTGTCTTGTGCATCATTGCACCCTTCTTTCCTTCACTGCATTTCTGCTGTTGCAATTCCCTTCACTCCTCGCTGTCCCCACTGGGTTCTGGCTGCCCTGCTCTTCTGCCCCGACACCCGTCCATACCCCTGTGGCTTTCATAGTCTCCCAGCTTCTGCTCCCCAATGTGCAGCCAAAGGGAGATTTCAAAACAGAAAGTGGGCCATGCCACTGCCCTGATGAAACGCTTCTAGTGGCTTTCTGCAGCCCGAATCCGAATCCACTCCAAGCCTCCATACTGCCTGAAATGTGAGTGGCTCCCAGAGCCCCCCACTGGCTAGTGAGCTTCAGGAGGATGGGGACCGTGCCTGCTTGTCCACCATTTGAGCCTCCAGCATCCACTTGCTCCCAATGAATTACCAAGCAGCATGTGGGACAGTGTCAGGTTAAGAAAGGCTGAGGACCCCGTCCCCTCCCACCCCCTACCCGCTTCCACCAGAATATCCTGCACCACAGGCAGCATGCTGGGGAAAGTCATAAGAACGGGACTCTGGCCCTGGCCGGTCTAGCTCAGTGGTTAGAGCGTCAGCCCGCAGACCAATGAGTCATGGGTTCGATTCTAGTCAAAAGCATGTACCTCGGTTGTGATTCATCCCTGGCCCTGGTCGGGTCGTGCAGGAGGCAACCAGTCGATGTGGCTCTATCACATCGATGTTTCTCTGTCTCTCTCTCTCTCTCCTTCCTTCCTGCTCTATCTGATAATAAGTAGAAAAATATCCTCGGGTGAGGAATAAAAAAAAAAAGAACGGGGCTCTGAAGCTAGAACCCTTTGGTTCAAATCCCCCCTTCTCTAATTTGACTTTGAGAAAATGACTGCTTCCTTGTCTGTGGAGTGGGGACTCTCTCCTGGGTATGAACCAAGGTCATGTTTGTACTTGACGCACAGCTAGGACTTAGTAAATGGGAAGGGCTGCCCAGGTTTGTAGTGCCAAGGGTCCATACCTGGCTGGCTTTGGCATTGACGTCTCCAAGCCGGAAGAGCTGCAGGAGGGTCTCGATGTCATCCTGGGTCTTCAGGGTGGCCAGGGCAGTGAGCATGATGGGGCTGTAGCCAGCACGGTTCTGCTTGTCCACCTGGCAGACACCTGGGAGTGAGGGGGCAGGAGGATATGAGCCCTCAGACCTGCTGACACTGTCCAGGCCCACCTCAAGGTGGGGACGGTCTCCAAGGACCAAGCCACATCTCTCTTTTTCTTTTTAAATTTTTTTTCTTTATTGATTTTAGAGAGAGAGGAGGGAGAGGGAGAGAGAGGGAAACATTGATGAGAGAGAACATCAATTGGCCGCCTCCTGCATGCCCCCCACTGGGGATCAGGCATGTGCCCTGATCAGGAATCACACCGGCGACCTCTTGGTGCATGGGTTGATGCTCAACCACTAAGCCACACGGGCTGGGCCCGAGCCACATCTCTGTCAGACTGGGAGCCTTGTTTCACTTGAGCTCTGGGCATTATGTCTCCTCCATCAGTCTAGGTGTGGCCTAACTCCTCCCTTTTCTCAGACTGAGAAGCCCCTCGGCCCCAGGGTGTCCATCTCCATTCTGACACCATTAGGGGAGTGGCTCCTCTAAATGGAGCCATTCTACTCCTCCCTCAGACTGTGGCCCCCCGACACTGACACCCACATTTAGGGCTGAGAGTAAGAGCTGTGTCTCTCTCATTCATCTGAACACGTCTCCTTCAGACTGGCCTATGCTTTCTCCATCAGTTTGTGTGTTCCAAGCCCTTCATCAGACTAGGAGTCCATGTCTTCCCAGTTTGACTTGGAAAAGGAAAATATTTTTCTGCTGCATTGAGGACTAGAGGTGTGATCTCCATTATACAGGGGTCCGTGTACATGGTGGAAGGACCACATTTTCCCGAAGACCATGCTGCCCTTTCCAGATTACTGGGGCTATAGGTAGGGCGTGCATCTCCCCCACCAGAGTGGGTGGGCAGTGCCTCTCCCATCAGACCAAACCAGGGTGGCAGCTGGGCCACTCCCCCAGGGGCCCCTCAGCCTGCCTGGCAGGGCTTACCGCTGTCCAGCAGCTGCCGCACAACTGGGAAGTTGGCATGGGACACGGAGTAGTGCAGCGCGGTGTTGCCATTGCTGTCGGCAATGTTGACCACATAGTCCAGCAGCCGTGACGACATGGCCCGGAAGGTGACCAGGTGGCGCCGCACAAGCTCAGGGTGGGCATCACTGCGGCAGGCCAGGCGCAGCCACTCCTGGAGCACTGTGGTGTAGGCCACTTTCTGGATGCAGGTTGGAGAGGAGAGGGGATGAGGGCTGGCGGCAGCCCACCTTCTCCAGGGCTAAGCCCCAGGAGGGAAGTGTGGATGTCTCTATCCTGAACCAGAGCCTTGAAGGGGGAACGTGGGCACCCCACCCAGATGAGCCCCCAGAGTAAAGTGGTTTTCTTGTTAATGCTCACCCAAAGATATTTTAGATAGAGTGAAAGGGAGGGAGGAAGAGAGAGAGAAGAAAGATTGATGTGAGAGAGACACATCAACTGGTGGTCTCCCACATGACCCTGACCAGGGCCAGGGATCAAACCTGCAATGCAGGTACATGCCCTTGACCAGGAATCAAACCCAAGACCCTTGGGTCTGCAGGCTGATGCTCTAACTGCTGAGCCACACTGGCCAGGGTATGTCTTGTACCCCCACCCTGGACAAGGACCCTAGAAGGAAGTGTAGACATGGCAATCCAAGATCTGCCCCCAAGAGGAAGTTGTGAGCATCTCCATCCTGGATATGATCTTCAAAGGACAATGTGAGCACCAGGAGAGAAAAATATGACAGCCTCTTCCCTCAAGCTCCCAAAGGACCAGGAACCAAAGCCAGAGGGCAATCATCCTTGGGCCCCTCCCTGCCTCCCTGGCTCCTCTCTAAGGCCCTTAACTCAAACAGGCTCCCCCAAGCCCTCAGGGTCCCCCTGAGACCGGCACAGGGAGGCACTGCAGACCAGGAGAAGCCAGGGTACAGGGGAAAGAGGGCCCTCCCAGTCCCAGGGCCCTAGCATACCAGCTCCCGCTCAGTGAGGGCATTGGGGTTGTCCAGGTACTTTTCCAAGGCCAGGCAGGCTGAGATGAGGTCGGGGCTTAGCTCCATCCTGCGAGGAAGTTGGGGTTTATCTCGGGAACATCCACTTCAGCCTCCTGGGTTCCCCCTACTTTCCACATCCAGCTGGGGTGCTGAGAGGGCCTCAGTGCTCTCCACCATGACACTATCCGATCCTGCCAGGGCTTATCCGACTGGTAGAAACTCAGAGGCACCCTTCACCAGGGCATACATAGGGAACAGACTCCAAGATAAAGTGGACACACAGGCTAGTTTACTCCAAGTGGTTAGGAAAATCTTTCCTAATGTCAGATTTTTCTTCAAGGAAAAAAAGAGATAAATGGGATGGACAGGTAGGACAAAAATATCCCAAAGAGGTGGGTAGCTTAAGGACTTTACCTGCACCCTAAATCCTAACCCACCCGCCCAACTGTCCCCATCAGGCTCTTCATCAAAGCCTCCAGACCTTCAAGATGCCCAGAGGGAGAAAAGTGCTTCTCTGCTAATTTAGACTAAGGTGTGCATAACTGATGGGATGTTCACTCAAAAGGTGGGATTTGAGGTCACCCCACATACAACCCTGATCCTGCCTCTCACCCAGAAAACTAACCGGATCTCCTCCACATTTGATCCTGATGCCCCCTCAGCTGCAGGCACATGCTGAGATTCCCGAGATAGCTGGCACTCCTCCCGGTTGTTCTTGGCCACTGCTGTCCCCGTAGGCCTCAGCTGGGGGGCTTTGGCCACACTTGGCACCCTCGCCTCAGGCTCTGGGGTCTCGTTCTCTGTGCTCTCATTGTCTGAGAAGTTCTCTGCTGTGCTGGAGTCCTCAGATGAGGACTCACACCTGGGGAAGAAGGACAGGCAGGGTGGGAGAGATGTTGCAGATGGGACAGGGGGTGTTGAGGGAGGGACTACTGGACCACGGTTTCCCCATCTGTTAAATGGGGATAATGTCAGTCCTGCAGGAATGTGGCTTACAGCACTTGGCACACATTAAGTGCTCAATAAACACTAGCTGTAACTGGGATCACACTGGGGCGCCAAGAAGGGACACTGCTTTTCCCTTCTACCTTGTGGTACCTCTCACACATTTTGCTGCTTACACAGGTGTTACTAATTCAGACCCTCGCCACACCTCGAGCTTTTTGCTTCCTCTGGACAAAGTATAAGCTTCCTGGCATTTGAGGTCTGAAACTGTCCTTGACCATCACTCCCCATGCCTTCCATCTCTCATGTCACTGCTTCCTCTCACCTTTGAGCCTTGGTCCAGGCTGTGCCCTCCACCAGGAGAGCCTCTCACCCCCCTCTCTTCACTTTGCTAGCTCCTGCTGTCCTGCAGCACATGTGCCCATCCTTCAGTGATGTCCCTGGGGCATCCATGCCTCCCCAAGATCCCACACTGCCATGCCTGTCATTGCTCCAACCACATGCTGGAACCTCCCAGCAGGGCCAGGCAGGGAGTGAAATCCGATGCCTCCCAAGGGGTAATGCAGCACAGTAACTACAGCACAGGCTCTGTAGCCAGGCTGCCAAGGCAGACTCCTGCTCACCGCAGGAGCCCCAGCAAGGCACTTGGCCTCATGTGCCTATTTCCTCACCTCTCTACTGTGCTTTAGTTAAATGAATGAATCAAAGTGAGGGGCTTAGACCAGGTCCTTGGTACATTCTTGGAACAAACAGGGTGTGGGAGCTGGTGAGTGGTATGGGGGTTCCTCTCACCCTCCATTGACCCCCACGAACTGGAGGCTCCTCTGGTGGGCCGTGAGGTCTGTGGGCTCCTCTTTCCGCTTCATGATGGACCGCATGCCCACCAGGGGCCCACCTGGGGGAAGGGGTGGTGTCATAAGGGTCTCCCAAAGCCAAACTCCATGCTCAGGCCTCCAGTTCTCTGTCCGCTTGGCGGCCACCCCCACTCACCTGCATCTCCAGACTCCTCTGACTCACTTGAGGCTGCTTGCCTGGCGGGCTCCCTGCTGGTAGTGTTGCGGGTGGGCACCTGGCCTGCGTTCTTCTTTGGCTGTGCCAGGGGGGCTGCTGCAGACCCTGGGGGTAATGAAGATGACTCTGCAGAAGCCTGTGGGAGACCTGGAGGGGCAGGAAAGAGGCATTCACTGTGGGTAAAAACAGCAAAGCAATAACAATAATATTACTGCCTCCTGGGGTCAGGGGCTCTGAGGGCTAATTCTTGCATTACTTCCAACTCTTCCCAGTACATGAGAAGTTGGATTGTTACAGATGAGCAAACTGAATCACCAAAAGGTTGCTCAGTGACCAAGCAGCAGAAACTCCAACTCTGGTTTGTTGCCTGCCCCACACTGGTCAGGGACAAGGAAGAGCCTATGACCCCACAATGCTGGCTCATAACTCCTCTCCAACAACATACTAAGTGTTGTCTGGAAACAAGGTTTGATCACAGCTGAGTGTGGTGGTCACTGTAGGGAATCACGTCTTCCAGGAGCAGTCTGTGAGCTCAGGCAATTCATCGAACTTCTCAGTGCCTCAGGAGAAACACACTCCTACTTATCCTGGCATCCTATGAGACTAAAGACAAGGTGAGATGAAGAGCTGAGGACAATGCCTGCACTTCCAAAGTGCTCAAGAAGCATCTGTTAATTCAAAAGAACTGTAAACTACATATTATATATATATTTAGATAGAGTGGAAGGGATGGAGAGAGAGAAACACTGATGTGAGAGAGAAACATGGACTGGCTGTCTCCTGCACACCCCTATCAGGGACAGAGCTGGCAACCGGGGCATGAGCCCTGACCCGGAACCAAACTGGCAACCTTTTGGTGCACAGGATGACGCCCAACCAATTGATCCACATAGGCCAGGGCTATGATTTTATATTTTATTTTTACAAAAGCAGGGCTGTGCTATAAATGTCACTTTGTACGTGGCTTCCTTTTTTTCTTTACTTAATTGTAAGTAGGTGTTACTTTAATAAAAAGGAAAAAGAAGCAATAGAGCTACTAGAAAATGACAATTAAAACCCCACCCAGGCCCTGGCCAGTTTGGCTCAGCGGTTGAGCGTCGGCCTGCGGACCAGAGAGTCCTGGGTTCGGTTCCCGCTAGAGGCACATACCACCAAAAAAAAAAAAAAAACCCCACCCAGGCAGAGTTTCAGTCTGGGAAGATAAAAAGGTTTTAGAGGTGGGTGGTGGTGATGGTTACATAACAATGTGAATGTGCTTTAATGCCACTGAACTGGACACTTTAAAATGATTAAAATGGGAAATTTTGTTATGCATACCTCATCACACTTTTTTAGAAAACCCACCTAACTTGGTCTAAGGACAAAGATGACTGTGTGGGCACTAGGCCCTGAGGGTGCCCACTGTCCATCTAGGAATAGAACTGACAGGGACTCCAGCCTCAGATCACCAGCCTGGAACGAGGAACAGAAGTCTAGTCTAGTCGCCACTGTGTGTGGCTGTCTAAGTCTTGGAACAATTCAGGTCCACTCAGGCCACATGTGGTGTCTATGTCACTACTTCCTCAGGATGTCCCCTTCCTGCCACGGGCCACAGGCTCCACAGAGCAATTCATTTGAATTCTCTTTAACAGTTAAAACTTTTTTTGACATACACAGCAACTACTTCCTCAAGTCCCTGGATGACACTCAACTTGAGTTAAGAACAGGGAGTAAATACTTGACACAAGCACATAAAAAAGTTGAGACAGCACTCCAGTCCAGGGCGTGACTTGGGCCAGGCCCATTCCAGAGCCAGTTTTTACACAAATCTGATTTTTTTTAAAAAATTGATTTTAGAAAGAGAGAGGAAGGGAGGAGAAACAGAGAGAAAGAGAGAGAGAAACATCCATTTGTTGTTCTACTTCTTTATACACTCATTGGTTGATTCTTATGTGCCCTGATCGAACCTTGCACCTGCAACCTTGGTATATCTGGATGGCACTCTAACCAACTGAGTTACCCGGCCAGACAGAGCTCCTGATTTATTTTTTAAACTTGTCAATAAATTCACATTAAACAAACAGAAACATTATATGGCCAAGTAAAATGTGTCAGGAAGCAGATGGCCAGTTCACAATCTGTGTGTATGCCTCAAACTCACGCCCCAGATTTAAACACCTGGAAGGGTCAAAAATCAGGTAAAGCAGTATCTTGCTAAGTGAAATAAACCAGGCACAAGAGGATAAATACTGGGTGATTCCACTTACAGGAGGTCCCTAGAGGTGCTAAATTCATAGAGACAAGAAGTAAAGGGAGGATACGGGGGCTGGGGAGGGGAGTGAGTGTTTAAGGGGGACAGAGTTTCAGTTGGGGAAGATGGAAAGGTTCTGAGGATGGATGATGGTGATGGCTGCAATAAAAGTGTGACTACCGCCCAGCCAGTGTGGCTGAGTGGTTGAGCGTGGACCTATGCACCAAGAGGTTGCTGGTTCAATTCCCCATCAGGGCACATGCCCAGGTTGTGGGCCAAATCCCCAGTGGGAGGCACACAGGAGGTGGCCAAACGATGTTCTCTCTCATCGATGTTTCTATCTCTCTCTCCCTCTCTCTTCCTCTCCCTCTCAACTCAATAAAGAAACCAAATAATAATTTTTTTTAAAAGTGTGACTACTGAATGCCACTAAGCTATACACTTAAGAATGATTGCCCGGCTGGTGTGGCTCAGTGGATTGAGCATCGTCCCATGGACTGAGACATCCTGGTTCGATTCCCGGTCAGGGCACATGCCTGGGTTGTGGGCTCGATCCCCAGTGGGGGACATGCAGGAGGTAGCTGATCGATGTTTCTCTCTCCCTCTCCCTTCCTCTCTCTGTAAAAAATCAATAAAAACATATTTTTTAAAAAAGAATGGTTGTGATGGTAAATTTTATGTTATATGTATTTTACCACAAATTTTTTTTTAAAAAGAAAGAAAATGGAGTAGCACCATGGCCCATTCCGCCCCAAGGAAAAGCAGGCCTTGCCTCCAAAAGCTAGAATGGCTCCTTCTAGTGTGAAAAGGTCAAGATCAGACAGTGCAATGTTAAAATAATAACAATACTAAAAGCAATATTTATTGTATGTTTCACTGGGGGATGGGACAGACAATACCAAAATTTGTATAGAGAAACTAAAGTCCATGACCAGCTAAGATAATTTTACAAAAATGGGCAAAGGGGAACAGAGCCTGGGAGAGAGTATAATATATGCCAAAGGCAGAACAGTCCAAACAGTGGGTATTGTTACATGAAGAGATAGGCCAAAGGAACAGAGAAGAGAGAGCCCTGCACAACCCCCTCTCAGGGGACTGGGGGTAAGACAGAAGGGATTCCACAAACCAGTGGTAAAGGGTGGGCTCTGTGGTGTGGTGTTAGGGAAAATAGCTTACTCTAGCCAAGAAAAAAATTAAGCTGGAACCCTACCTCAGGCCTTACACAGAAAATAAACTCTAAAGGAATAATATGAAGGTACAACTACAAAACCACAGGAAGAAAATGTAAAATATCAGGGCCCTCAGGAAGGGGAAAGATTCCTTTAAAAATTCCTCAATGTCTAACCACTATGTGGTACACCTGGAATGAATATAATATTGAATGACAACTGTAACTGGAAAAAAAAACAAAAAACACTTCAACAAATAAAACTTCAAACTAAAAAAAACAAAAACAAAACTCCCCAGAGCGCAAACCAGCCCTGGACAGTTTGGCTCAGTGGTTGAGCATCGGCCTTTGGACCAGAGAGTCCTGGGTTCAGTTCTCACTAGGGGCACGTACCACAAAAAAAAAAAAAAAAGCACAAATCAAATATGAAAAATTCAAGGTGATGTCACTTATATATGGGATCTAATAAAAATGAACTCATAAAGAGAGCAGAGTAGTAGTTGCCAGGGTAGGGGCGGGGAATGGGTGAAAGGGGTCAAAAGGTACAAACTTCCAGTTATAAGAGAAGTAAGTCCTGGGGCTGTCATGTACTGCATGATGACTGTAGTTCACAATACTGTACTATATAGTTGAAAGCTAAGAGCCCAGCCGGTGTGGTTTAGTGGATTAAGTGTCATCCCATGGACTGAGAGGTCCCGGTTTGATTCCCGGTCGGGGCACATGCCTGGGATGGGGGCTCCCTAGTAGGGGGCATGCAGGAGGCAGCCAATGGATATATCTCTCTCACATGGATGTCTCTATCTCTTTCTTCCTTTCTCTCTAAAAAAAAAAAAAAATCAATAAAGACATATTTAAAAAGAAAAAAAAGAAAGCTAAGAGAGATCTTAAACATTGTCATCACCAGAAAAAAAACTGACTCTGTAAGGTGACAGATGTTAACAAAACTTACTGTGGTAATCATTTTGTAATCTATACATCTATCAAATCATTAATTTGTACACCTTAAATTCATACAATGTTATACGTCAATTATATCTCAATAACAATGGAAAACATATTTTTAAATACAATGGGTTTAACTATATCCAATATAAAGATTTCTATTTGATAAATACAAACAAACAAAAAAACCCAAAAAAATCATAGACACAGTCAATTGATAGAATACATACTGGGAGAAGATATTCACAGTGCCAAAAATGGGCAAGTGATAATCTTCTAGAACAAGTCAACAAGCCTTTTCTGTAGAGCTAGATAGTAAATACTTTTGCTACATGGGCTATAAGGTCTCAGTCAAAAAGAGTGCAAAAGCAGCTTCAGACAGTTGTCAATCAATAGGTATGGCTGTGTTTTTTTTGTTTTTTTGTTTTTTATCCTCACCCGAGGACACTTTTTCCATTTTTTTGTTCAGGTAGAGTGGGAGGGAGAGAGAGGAAGAGAGAGAGAGAGAGAAACATCGACGTGAAAGGGACACATCGAGTGGCTGCCACCCGCACGACCAGCCAGGGCCGGGGACAAACTGCAACCGAGGTACATGTCCTTAACGGGAACCGAACCCGGGTCTCTTGGGACCGCAGGCTGATGCTCTAACCGCTGAGCCAAACCGGCCAGGGCTGGCTGTGTTTTTTTTTTATTGTTACTGTTTTTTTTTTAATCCTCACCCAAAGATATTTTTCTATTTATCTTCAGATAGAGTGGGAGGAAGAGAGAGGGTGAGAAAGAGAGAAACACTGACATGAGAGGGACACA